CATTTTTTTAATTATTACTATTCATTTCAATTTAATTTTCCTATAAAACTATTGTTTTTTTTCCGTTTGTTATTTTGTTTACTAAACTTTTAAATTTTAGTAATCATTTTTTGATTTTCATATATTTTCATGTATGATCTCAAACGATCAGAAACATAAATAATAAAACAAGACTTGTCGTAGTACAATTTGTTCTTTATAACAAAAAAAAAAAAATAACAATAATAAATTTATAAATCTGTTAATTAAAAAAGGTTAATGGTATTTTCTGGGTTCAAGACTGTGTACTGTATTTAGAACTGTTTTAATTATTTTTCTCAACATTATTGCAGCTTGTATTCAAAATTTGTAAAATTGTTGTTCTTAAAATGTTGTGGTAATATATAGACTAAGAAGTAGTGTTTGGGGTATCGATAGCTAATTAAAAAAAAAAGAAAATGCTGGGCTTAAATTATTTAAAAATGTATATGAAACTCTTGTGCATAATGATAAGACTTACTTGCATTGTTAAAATAACACGGAAATATCAATAAACTGAATTATTTCGTACATTGAATAGTTTTTGTTAATAGTTTCTAGTCTTTTATGATACGAAATTAACTGTGTAACCTATTCGTTTAACACTACTAGTGTTAACAATCAATGAACACATACACAATAACAATACCTACATAAATAATTTAGAATTGTACACTTCCTTCACCTACTAAATAAGACAAATATTTTCAAATTTTGAGCCACACATATTATAATGTAAGCAGCAAACGTACTGTTGCTCTAGTATAGTATTCTATAATTCCTTGATTGAAATGCATTTTAAAAGCACTTTTATGATTCTAACTATCTTGGCTTACTTTATGATGTCTGCGTATTCGGGTAAAACAGCATATTGTAATTACACCAGATCTGGTGTAAATATGCACTAATTCTTTCACACAAACAATTTAACAAATGGCTCTTCCAATAAAAAACAAAATAGGACTAAGGCAAAACCCTGGACTCACCAGAAAAGAAAAAACAGTGATTAACCGTCTTCGAATAGGTCACACCCAACTAACACACAGTTATTTGATGAACAAGGAAGAACCACCAACATGCGATGCATGTGGCGTACCTCTGTCATTCTCCCACATACTCACAGAATGCCAAAAATATGAAAATTACCGCAACCAATTCGACATCTCTGAGCAATTAAATCAGGCCTTAGGACCAAACACTCAAGATATCACGAACTTGATATGTTTTCTTAAAAAAACTGAACTGTATGTATAGTTTAATATAAAATGTTCATGTATTTCTAATTGTAACCTAATGTATACTAATAGCCTTAGCTGCTGATATAAATAATGATCAAAAAAAAAAAAGATTGTGTTTAAATTACTAGGTACTCTTTCTGTATAAAATTATTCGGAGTGATTTCATCATTTTGAACTTTTCAAATTGTGTGCCTATAATAGTAGTTTTATAGGTTTTTTTAATAATTAGAAACATTATTGTTGAAATTTGTTTTTTTTTCTATACACTAACATACTCGAATAAAATAATTTTGTACCAAACTATTTTTGTAACAACATACTTTTAACATTACAAGGTCCTTAATATGTTGTACATGGATAGCACGTGAAAGTACTCTTATTAAGATTATATAAAGAGGTTTAAATTTTTTAGTATAATTCATTTCAGTATATTTTATTCGATAATTTAAAAATTTTATTTTTCTAGAAGTACCAAGTTTAAATATTGAAAATTTGCCCTATGCCTTTGTGAGTTAAAGTTTTCTATATGCTTATATGAAAAACCGACTATAAAATGGAATTTTAACTTTTATTACATTTCATTAAATCGTTGAAATCATTAAATCCACACAATTATACATTAACACGGTATATATGAATGAACTATATATATAAATTATGTACTGGTTTTATGTCTATAAGAAGAAAAATATTATTAACTTTTAATACATATACTTTAATACCTAGTTTCAATATAACTAACTTACCTCTTATGACACTTGATTTAAGTTTGATTTTACACTTATCAGCGAGCTGTTGATCATTTTGTTTCATTTCGTTACATTCGTCGATAACTTTACAAGCCAATAAGTGATAAATGATAATAATTCAAATGCACGCCGTAAGCGCAGCCCGTCGATGGAGAAATAATTTTCATTCTGGCTACTGTTTCTGTACTCTTACTTGTAGCCCATAGTTTACTCATAAACACAAATTTACCTTCATTGATGGCTGTTGCAATGAGTGAACCACATATCTTGCCAATGACCTTGTTTTTTAACTTGTTTGAGAATGTTCATTTGTTCTAATGTCACTCTTGCACACACTGTATTTCCATCGTGTAAATATGACAAAACTTACGGAATTACAAACTTTACGAATGCCTTATTTTCCATCTTTAATCTTGTAGATTTGAACAGTTTTACTTGATGGAACAGTATGACCTACGTGGAAAAATCCGTTTTTTCATAAAGACCACACGAAGCTTCATGTTTTCGTTTTGTGTAAATTGTAAATAACAGCAACGCTCATTGTTTGCCTAGTGACTGTGTAAATTCATTACATTAACCTATAAATTACTAAAATGCCATACTTTATAGGTACACGAATAATTTAATAAAACATATAATTAGTACATAAGATTTGAAATATTATATACATATTTCAATGGTTTTAATAATATGAATTTATTTGTATTATAATAAATCAGTTTTGACTAGAAATTCCATAATATTGCACTTATGTTGTTATTAGTAAAGACATTTTTTCAGAGAAACTATCTCTAAAAATTAATACAATTTTATAGTTTTTCTTTTTGAAAACATTTTTATTTATGTTGTTGCACATTAATTATTGTATATTGTTATTATTATTATGTAATGAATTTACCTTTTGTTGTATTTTCCGGAGCGCTATCAACTTTTGAAATTTAAACGGGAACGTGTATATTTAGTTAAATTTAGATAAAATAAAGTTACTGCATTCTCAATGACCTAAAATTAAGATGAGTGACTATACTTATAGAGTATTATTTATGTAGTACAAAATTTGGATAAGGTGTTTCCCATTGCATTGCAGTAGGTACACCGACTTTTTTTCTGAAGCTGTTTATTTTTTTCTATTGATTGAAATTTGAATCTAATGTTTCTTTTTAAAATCCAAATCAAACATGAACATAATATCATACAAATATTTTAATACTAATTAGAATTGTAGTCTTATGGTAATCGCATAATAATTAATTAATTTGATAATGTTTATTTTTTATTCCAGAAAAGGGCGCTATCGTGTTTGTAAAAGAAGGGAAAAATCTAAGACAATAATCAATTTAATTATTATAATATACTTATACACATATAAACAATTACAAGCTAATGAACAGTTTTCTATTAGTTGTACTTAAAATTCTTCTAAACATCCAATTTTAATTATACTCGTGTTAAAAAAAGGTCGAACGAGTATAAAATACCATTCAACATTTTTTTTTTTTTGTATGACAATCAGTATTTACATATTATTATTTTTAATTAACACTTCACCTCTGCTGTATAATTCTATGATATGCAAAATAATTTATTTTTCACTTCAGTCATCACATTGAATTAATTTATTTTAGTGAAAAAACGCATTTTATTTTTTAAGAAATAAGACAGAAACAATGTAAAAACAAATCTGAACGATAAAGCTGCTACTCGAGTAAACCGACCCTCCAAAAAATCCACAAATAGTTTTGTAAAACAAATACATTTTTAGCTTTCCATATAGATCTTGTCAAAAGTGCTCAAATGAAAATTGTACATTCATTTATAACTTAGTCTAATAGTTATATTTTAGAAATATTTCTTCTACCACAGATGAACATCAAGTAGATTATTTTAAGCTTTTACTTGTATATACATATTACATAGTTTGTAATCGAAACGAAGGCCAAAAAATAAAATAAATAATATTAAAACTAATTTTTACTTAAAGGATTTAATAATCAAAAAGTAATATTATAAGTTAATACCATAGCATGATTTCAGAGTAACATTATTAAAAGCAGTATTTAAACAAAACCGTTTGATGTCTCTTCTGCCTTTGCAACCAGATGCCATCTTTGTGTAATATTTTTTACAATAAAGTTCTCCCAAAGTATTAACAAACACAAATAAATCATAACACCTAAATAGGTACAACCAATTAGAGTTACTACTGAGCTGGAGCTTATAAAGGACTTTTTCTGCTCGTGTTCTAACATTTTGTGTCCCCTAACTTTACACAAAAGTACATACACAGTTTGTTATCAAAATTAGTAAGTTATTTTGAAACCAATTTTAATTGACAAGTGAATAAAATATGATTTTTGAGTAACAGCATTAAAATAAATAATATGATCACAAAATGTACCATGTTACATTATCATTGGATTGGAGAGGGTTCAAAGTTTGTAATATATTTTAATTTTTTTTTTACCTTAAAAGTTATTATCTATATTTGTGTAATTCAGAACACACAATTTTTTTTAAGTAAGTTACATCAGTACTCGTCGGGGGCGTTGATTTATTACCTTGTTTTTTTTTTATGTTTAGTTAATACTTGTTAACAATATTTGTTTACGGAATACGTTTGAAATTAAAATCTACTTTAATGTAGGTCGCACAATGATTTATTACCTTGTTTTCTTTTTTGTTTCCTTATGAATTTTTGGTACACAGCTATACTATAATTATTATAGTTTATTTAGTGAGCAATATTTATTTAATTTAACTGCTTTACTATTACGGTTTATGGTTCTTCTTGCCTCCTTTCTGCAAATAAAATACCGAGGGCCCCGCAAACCGTTTGCACATATTACGTTTGTGTTGGTCTATTATGAAAATATACCTATTGTTTATAAATCATTATTGTTTTTTCTGTATGATCAGGTGAAATTTATCATTTTTTTTACAGGCTCGGCGTAGGTATTTTAGTGGATAATTTCATTCGTTTAATTCAATCATAATTCTACAGTTGTTCTCAACGTTTAACCTTTACCGCAGTATAATCTTATTCGCATTACAATGGCAAATATCAGTTATTTCTTTATTATTTTATCGGTCTGTGTTGCCTGTACATTTCAATATGGTGGTATGTATAATGTTGGACCAGAGTCCACAGATTAAATATATATATATATATATATATATATATAATACTATGTATACTAACTCAATCTATGATTTATCTAACCAGCTATAATATTTTCGCAATACTTTATTTTTCTTTTTAGGTCCAGATATATACAAAAGAGATAACATAATTATTTATCAAGAAAATTTAAGTAATTATAATTACGTTTACCTTAGGTATACTCATAATATTATGTTAATGACATATTGTAATAATAATGATAAGTGAACTTTCGTTCTGTATAATATAGTACACTACCGAACCAATTTTAAAGAAAAACGTTTTGTTATACAATTTACCATTTTCTAGATACATTTTTGCCAATTATTGGCTAGCTATCCTTTGCCCTTTAGTAAATAACGTTTTCTGTTCCCTTTAATAATACATTTCATGCCAATTTAAAATAGTCATAATAGGCATCATTTTTAAAAAAATTGAATCCGCTAGAATAAAAAATATTTTTGAAATTAAAAAATTATTCTTAAAAAACATTTCTATTTATTTGCTGAATAATATAAACAAACATTAGCAAAGAAAATTTCGGAGTTAATATAATTTAAAAATTATCACTTGTTTCTCAATTTAGCTTGCACTATTATATTTTACAATGCAGTTTCTTTTTTTAATGTCCTGTTTTTAACACTAGAATTGATATAATAAAAAAACTGAATAAAAGTCAAAATAAAGTTACCAAATTCTCATTAACATAAAATTGAGAACTTTTCACAAAATTTGACTAAGGTTTTCCCCATCGCATTTCAGTAAAACTGTTTATTTTTTTTTTATTAGTTGAAATTTGAATCTAATGTTTTTTATTGTAAACGAACTCGAATATAATATTTTATACGAATATTTTTTAATTAATTTGTATTTTAGTCGGTTGATAACCGCATAAATAATTCATTTGTTAAACGTATAATAATCACTTTTTTTTATTCCAGGAACGGGCTTTTTCAAGTTTGTAGAAGAAGGTAAAAGTATAATTATATAGATTTTCAGATAAAATTTTAATTGTATTTTCTTTGCAGATGGCGTAAATCCGTATGACAGAGGCTTAGGTAATATAAAATTGTTTAATGTGGATTTAAATATTATATAATAAGATCAACACTAGGTATAGCAGTTTATTTACAAGATAATAAAAAATAGTTTCTATGCGAAATAAATATTTAGATTTAGACCAATTACATAATATAATAACTTCTAATAGTTATTTAAATTAAATGACGAAAAAACTAGTAATTTCGCTTTAAAGGTAGTCTTTTTTTTTCTGTATATAATTTTATATGTTTAATTGCACGCAAGTAGGATTATTAGTCGTACGACTGAGGAGGTCTTTGCACAAAAAATAATATTTACAATATTACAAATATCTATATCAATTCATTATATTATTTAAAAAAACAATTGATTCGAAAGAATGTAATTTTTTGATATGTTTAGTTAATAACTTTTTACTACCTATATATTATTTTTATTTTTTATAAATTTAAGTAAAAATATAATTTAAGGAAGTGATGTCCACTTTTTACCAACCTATGGAAAAATATTAAAACTCAGACATTTTACTATTGTTAAGTAAAACCATTGAGTCTATATTGTATGATATCAGATATATACTGAATGGTAAAACATATAATATGTATACTATATTATACAAAATATTTCTGCTTTACAGATGTGGCGTTTATTATGGTACCAAAGTGAGTATTGTTATTCATATAAACTTTTTTGCTAGAAAACAATTTTCAACTTGATTTTTATTCATTTTTATATTACAAGTTCAAAATCAGTTCACCTATCATATTACCATTTATTATCATTTTAATCAACGTTTGAGGGGTTTTATATAATAATGTAAATTTTAGCTAGGTAACTTTTTCAATCGTGGTTTTTTAGTATTTTTTTTTTTTTTATATTTTAGGGAAAGAGGTAAATTGTTGCCATTATAAAATAACTTTGGTAATCGATTCCTGTCTATATATTGACAATGTAGAGCAGCATACATCTCCTATAAAGAAATTAAGTTAACTTTATTTTAATTACCTATTGATTTCAGTTCACCTGGCTACAGAAAACTTGTCCAAACCATTAACGATTTAGGAATATATGACGAAGATATATACAAAACCGAATTCACCTTTCAACCAAGTTTTCTGGAATTTGATAATATATTTATACCAGGAGGACGCAAAAATTCTAGAAATTAATCGTATTTTATAGATTTTGAAACATTATGATTATATTTTTATATTACTATCATTTAAGTTTTGTTTCTTTTTAATTCCAAGAAGTATCCAGTTCTTGGAATTAAAAAAAAAAATAAAAACTTATTTTTAAAATGATGAATGTAACTAACGAAAATAATCATAAGACAACATTTCATATTTATTTAATATTTAAAAAAAAATTATTATTTCGACAAAATTATGATTATAAATTATATGATTTCTAATAAAATAAAATTATGCGTTTTTTCGCTGTAATTTTATCCGTCATTATCCAATAAATGAACTGCTATTAATTGACCTTGGAACTTCTTTATTATCTTTGCAACCTATAACATAAATACTCGACCAATTTGGTTCTTCTAATTTTATTTATAAGAGTTTTTTTTTATTAGGTGCTGTGCGTTGAAAAAATTCAATATTATTACCCATTTAAGTGTTTTTTATTAGTACCTATAAAATAATGTGAATATGATAATAAAAGAGGCAAACAATTTGAAGGGAGGAGAAAAGTTTTCTTCAATATATTTTGCATGAAATACAAGGTTATAATAACACGAATATATTTTGGGCTGATTTTTGCACAAATTTCTATAAATGCAATTGATTATATCTAATGAATGAATGGTCGCAGCAACTTGATTTTTCTCTAATTATTTAGTGTAGAAAAAGTACTATTAGTATGATATATTATTTATTTATGATTTGTTGTATGTTGTTGAATTGAAACAGTTGATAAAATGTTGTTTTTTTTTTAATAGATCTTTTGATCTCTGTGGTTACTCATAGTTACTGTTGCCAACTGCACACGCCATACAAAAAAAAAATATTTTCACTTAACTTTTGGTTTTTTTATAGAAAGTTGTAGCATTGAGAATGCCGCAAGCTCTACATACAGCTATAAAGATATGTTAAGTATTTTAAAAGAAAATAAATACTGAATAGTATATTTAATGGTTGTAATTAAAACTATTTATATTAAAATTAATTGGAACTCTAAATTTTGAGAAAATATTATGGCTACCTAATCTAATAAATATATTGATGATTTATCCTTGTTTTTTTCCGCAAAAATATTATTTTTAAACGCATAAATATTATAATTATTATGTTATTAGTTTAAGTACATGATTATCATTTACATGCTTTATTTTAAAATAAACGGTTTGAAAAAATATAAAAAATAATTTTTGTACCTACTAATTTTGGACTACTAAATACAGTTTTTATATTTTATAAAATTATATACTGGGTTCCTTAAGATATTTTCAAGTTTATTGTGATTTAATGCACATTTTTAATCTAGAATAATAATAAATTGTAGTAATTTATAACCACATTCACACAATAAAGGGCGAAAAGCCTTACAAATGTGCAATGTGATAAGTCCTTTACTCAAATCTCACGTCTTAGATTAAACCTTTGTTTAAGGTGTGTGCTAAAAATATTTTTCTCAAAAGTCCGACATTGGACAGTAGTTTTTCAGTTGCTCTAACAATATATTTTGATGTGAATTGATTTTTTCTTTTGACTATTTAATTGTAAACGTTAATTATAATTTTATGTAACGATATGTCAATAAGATTATTGCAAGAAATATATATAGACCGATGTACAAATGTACAATGACAACCTAGGAATATATGAAAAAAGACACAATGAAGAGCGCCATGGCCTTTATGAAAAATCCAATATACTCACACATATAATATGTAAACGCCTAGAGTGGCTGGGACATGTGTGGAGATGTATTAAAGAATGTTCTGATTGGAAAACTAAATAAGAAACGTTCACTTGGAAGACCAAGAACAAGGTGGGAATACACCGTAGAAAAGGATATGAGGCTGATAGATGGGAATGCATCGTTAGATTGGACTATGGACAGAGAAAAATGGAGAGGGTTACTAGTAGCAGCGCAGGTCCTTAATGGACCGTTAAGCTGTTGAAGAAGAAATGATTTTAACCACTTGATGTTTAAGCGCTGTATTTGACCTTTTAAAAAATGTTTCCTAGATTAAGATACGTTCTAAGCACACCACACACATTGAAGATGTGAATGTGATGGATCAGTATGACGTGGTGGTCGTGAAAAAACGGAAAAGCTTCATGTTTTCGATTTGTGTTAAATTGTAAGCAACAGCAACACTCATTGTTTGCTTAGTGATTGTGTAAATTCATTACATTGACCTATAAATTACTAATATGCCATACTAATATGTTTATACACGAATACATTAATAAAATACATAATAAGTACACAAGGTATAAAATATAAGTTACATATTTTAATGGGTTTAATAATATGTATTTATTTATATTATAATAAATCAATTTCGACTAGAAATTCCACAATATTACTCTTATGTTGTTATTAGTTAGGACATTTTGCTTAGAGAGATTCTCTCTGAAAATGTTGCCAGTAACTAGTAAGTAAGGTAATGAAGATGACCATCGCCTTACAGGGTGTACGACATTATCCAATAATCTTTCTTTATATTATTACATTACACCTAGTCCTTAAATTCTCGCTCATCCCGTTTCGGATCTTCCCACTCGCGACTACTAAATACTGGATTTTGCTGGTTTATATATTCATTATATTACATACATAGAATCCCTAATGATATTTTCAAATTTATTGTGATTTGTTTTGAATTTAGAATAATAATTTTAATAGCAATTGTAGTAATTTTATAACCACATTCACACAAGTATTAGATTATTTCGAATTTTAGGATAATAATTAATTTAATTATTGTAATATATATAATAAAAAAGCCAGTACAGTGGGGTCGGGGCATAGTGGGGACGGAGAGGTCATAGGTCTACAGATTTAACTATAACTGAAAGTGATAAAAATCACTTTTAAATAAACGCTTCGATGCGAATCTGTGGATCGTATGTTCAAACCAGTTGTAGCGGTTTAGAAGATATCGTGGAACTAGCAATAATGTACTTGAAATGTAATATTTAGTCTTGTGCAGGGTGGATACGATAAGGGTTGATCATCTGTCTATAAAAACGTACTGTAATAGTTACCCATATATCGTAATTAACAATATAATGAAAATCATTTCATCACCTGTTGACTGTTGATTCACTCACACATAGCAACCTAGAAACTGACTACAGCCAAAGTGTAAATTTACCCTATTTTTGGGGTTTTTCCTTAATAAAAAAAAAATTTGACTACAGATTTTTGAGAAAATTGTATATGTTATGGTTATATAATATGTACAATTTTAATACATGTTATATATTATAATTTTATTTGAAATCGTATTAAAAAGGTTAGCCGAGTATTAAAGTACAAATTAAACAGTTACCTAACAATCATTTATTGATTTTATGTTGCGATAATTTACCTATCCGTACATAATAAAACATCACAATATGGCTTTTATTATTTATTTACTATATGACACCGTAGTTGTGTCATTATTTATTTATATGGTAATCATTTGCATAACTCAGAGTTTTCAAACACCATTAAGTATGTGTATTATTACTCTAGAAAACTGAAAAATATTCAATAGGTACATCATTGGTTTCTTCGTGATAATAACAATTTACTTATTATTATATTCAATGAACAATCCTTGTCTCATTCTCTGCTAAAGTTCTATGATACACATATTATTTTATTTTTTACTATATTTTAGGGAAATAACTAATTTAGTTTATCGATATGATAATTTAAGAATTAAACAAACCATGTATCGATCAGTGAACCCAAACGAGCTTGTACTTGACTTTATTTTATACTCTCCAAATAAACTATAAGTATAAATTGTATTAAAAACATTGCCTTTATCCTATAGTTTTATTCCTAATAACATTTTTATAACATAATTACAAATTAAGATTTCGGCATCAGTTATGATTCACTTGGAAGCCAGATGACAGATCTGCACACATATCATTTACTATAATAATTGTACCCTCAAAGCTCAAAACTAAGTAGAACAAATTAGATGTACTACTCAGCTAGAGCTAACCAAGGACATTTTCTCCTCGTGTTCTACACACCTATTGCAACCCCTAACGTTTCATAAATTGTATGTACATGGTTTGTAATCAAGTTATTTTAAAACCAATCTTAATTTGTAAGAATGTGTAAAATATTTTATGTGAACACCATATGATTTCAGATTAACAGCGTTATTATAAATAATATGATCACAAAATGTACCATGCGACATGCTATATATTATTAGGGGGGGGAGGGTTCAAAGTTAATAACACATTATAAAGTTTTACACAAAAAAAAAACGTTGTGATAATATTTGTTTACAGAATACGTTTGAAATTAAAATCTACTTTAAAATAGGTCGCACAATGATTTATTACCTTGTTTTCTTTTTGTTACCTTATGGATTTTTTGTACACAACTATACTACAACGATAATAGTTTATTTAATGACTAAACCATCGTTGAACAACATTTATTTAATTTAACTGCTTTGCCATATGATTTATTAGTCTTTCTGGCCTCCTCTCTGCAAATTTAAATACCTCGTAAATCGTTAATACATATTACTACAATTTTGTGTTTGTATATTTTTAAATGTACCTATTGTTTTCAAATCATTTTTGTCCTTTCTGTATGAACAGGTGACATTTCTCATTTATTTTTATCGGGTCAGCATAGGTATATATAACTGGATAATTTCATTCGTGAAATTCAATCACAACTCTTCAGTTGCTCTCATCGTTTAACTGTTACCGCAATATACTCTAATAATCGCATTATTATGGCAACTATCAGTTATTACTTTATTGCTTTATTAGTCTGTGCTGTTTGTACGTATACAAATGGTATGTATAATGTATTTATTGTTTAACCAGAATCCACAGACTAAAATATAGACTTAATCTATGATTTGTCTAACCAACTATAATATGTTCGCAAACGTTTACCGCTTAATTTTGTTTTTGTTTTCAGGTAAAGCTAATCGTCAAAGTAGTACTCCTTCAGGTAGACCTAATCGTCAGAGTAGTACTTCAGATTTTCAACAAGATGACTTAATTATATACGGAGAGACCTATAGTAATTATATTTATGTTTGCCTTAAATATACTCATATTATAATAATAATCATAGGCGAAATAATTACTTAAAAGTTCATATTTGGTGGTGTCTATAAATACTACAAGTATCCTCACCGCTCTGCAGTAAAGTATATCAATGCTTTATCTGAAACTGTATATATATATATATATATATATTTTTTTTTTTTTAATTGGTTCAAAAGTGAGTTATGTTTTTTTTTTTTAAATCAAACACAATTATAATATTATACAAATATTTTAATATTAATTAGAATAGTAGTCGGTTGGTCATCAGTAATTACATAATTTATTAATTTGTTTAACGTTTAATAATGTTTTATAACGTTTTATATTCCAGAGATGGGCTTAATCGCATTTGTAGAGGAAGGTAAAAATATAGTAATAATATGAGTTCTCAGATAAAATTTGATTAATATTTTCTTTGCAGATGGTGTAAATCCGATTCCAGAAAAAGGTAATATAAAATGGTTTATTCTGGTAAAATTGTATTTATATTTTCCTTGCAGATACAAATCTGAATCATGTTATTTTTAACATGATTCGGATTCGATAACGCCTTTTTGAGGTATTATGACATTTTTTAATTTAGATTTCTTTAATGTATAATAATATCAATACTAGATATAGCATTTTATTTACAAAGATATTGAAAAATGTTTGTATGCGAATTAAAAATAATAATACATATATAATAAAAAAACCTTTCTGCTTTACAGATCCGATTTGGATTGTATACCAAAAGTGAGTATTAATATATATTTATATCAACGCTTTTGTTAGAAAAAACATTTTCATCTTGTTTTTTATGCATTTTTTTTTACGAGTTCATTATCAGTTAAGCTATCATACTACCAATAATTTTAATTAAACTTTAGGGTGGTTATAACAAATAAGGTATACGGTATCCGGGTAACGTTTTCAATCGCTGATTTTTAGAATTTTAGCCTTAGGCAAGTATCGCATCGAAATCGTTTTTTTAATTTGTTGCCAATTGCCATAATAAAATACCTATGGTGATCGATTTCTGATTTATAGATTGGCTTCAATGAACTAATTGGTGCATACACAAAAACACGATTATAAGGAAATTAAGATTTTTAGACATATTTCAATACAATTTAATGTAATTAAAGGGCCACTTGCGTTTGTTAGAAAATACCCATGCTATTGCATTGGATTTTTAGAAAATAATGCCATATAACTTTATTTTAATTATTACCTATTGATTTCAGTGAACCAGCCTACTATGATGTTCTCGGAAAGCTTGCCCGAAACGGATTATATGGTGATGATATATACAATAAGGAATATACTTTCGCAACAGGTGATCTGGAATTTGACGAGCTCTCGACATATGAACAGTCCTCAAATAAATATTAATCTTGATTTATAGATTTTATTATACATTATTATGATTATACTATTATGTTCATTTAATAAATCAACCGTTATTAATTAACCTTGTTACTTTTTTGTTATCTTTGAAACTATAAAACCAATGCACGACCGATTTCGTCCTTATAATTGTATTTATAAGTTTTATCTAGAACAATTTTCGTCGAATCAGCCAAAATCGCTTGTTTGCATTAGTCCTAGACCCACACAAATAGCAATTAAATCTATATGTTTTGTTTAAAAAAAAATGGTGGTGGAAATTTGCAATGTCTTATGTATGTTTATGGAGCAGCTTAGATGGTGCTGTCCGTTCAAAAAAATGCAGTATTATTACCCAATTAAGTAGTTCCTAGTAGCATTTAGTAATATGAATATAATAATAAAAGGGGAAAACATTTTGGAGAAGGGGGGAATTAAATTGTGAACATGATATTTAAAAGAAAGTTTAGAGTAAAAAATATCACCTAAGTCATTAATTATATTTTTTCGAGATAGGTTTAAATTATTCAGGCAGTAGTTAAAAAGTAATGTATTTTTCTTTAAAGAAAATGAAATAGTAGCACATTTATAGCACAATATTCAATATCATATCATTATCAGCACACCACTTATACAAATTATTAAGATCTTCTTGGAGTTCTTTAGCATCACCTAAACATTTAATTTTTTTATATAGTTTAGTATCATCTGCCAATAATAAACAGTTAGAATATTTTATGGTTTTAGTTATATCATTAATAAACAAATTAACAATGGTGACAAATGGTCACCTCGTGGAACGCCAGAGGATACATTAATAAAATCAGATAAATGGTTCTCATATTTCACAATTTGAATTCGATTTGTCAAAAAAAGAGTTAAACCAGGATAAAAGAGGACCACTAAAACCATAAGCTTTTAGTTTAGAGATTAAAAGAGAATAGTTGACTCTATCAAAATACTTTTCAAAGTCTGTGTATAATAACCTCAACAATATTTAATTAATTATACTTTGAAGTTTTCTACTGTAGGTAGGTATTTATTTAAAAGAACTATAACAACATTATAATTGTAAAATCTATTTGTATATCTAATAGTTTAATACTTGTCAGTTTGCCAGTTGTTAAACTGTGTTATCGGCGATTGTTTATTTAAATTTTTGCTGGCTTAAATAATTTCAACTCTTTTTAATAAATAAACGACCGAAACAAACTATCTTTTTATTTTATATAATATAATTCATTCGTTAAAATTATTGACTAAATTATTGTTCTACTTTATTGTTTAATTTATTTCATTTAACATTCTCAATATCTATGTAACTTTTAATATTTGTGTTAACTAAACTTGTGCTCTATTGTTTTTTTTATACGACTCTCTTAAATTAAAAGTATTAATAGTGTATACCTACCGCTAGAACTTGATTTTGTAATTATTTGTTGAAAAAAGCAAATCACTTGTAATGAAAAACATGGTCAACAGCCCCAGAGGCCTGAATGGATCTACCTTGAGTAACTACGAGTCTTATTTGAAATACATTTGTATTTAGTTTACAAATATTTTTTGTTAATAGAATGAAAAACGGTCGGTCTCAAATTGTTTTGTATTGGCAATATTTATGAAAAAGTGGTTTTATTAGTTTCGACCATGGCAATTTAATATTACAGGTTAATTTGTAAAAGCTCCAGGGAATTGTTTTTAATTAATACATTTTTTCTAAGAGTAAAAGCCATTTTAGTGGTTGAAATGCTTTCACTCTGACAAAATTGTGAGACCGACTATTACATATCTAAAAATAAGTTATACTTATTCGCGTTTTCTCTTACTTTTTTTTTATTTAACTTAACTTAAAAAAAAACATGTATAGCGTACCATGTAAAAAGTTTAAAAACACTTACACTTTTGCCGAGTTTTTCTGTATTTTAAAGTGGAAAAGGTAAACATATTTTAATTTGTCTACAAAATTAACATTCAATAATTTTTATAGTAAAAATTTAAAAATCAATCCAAACGGAAGTTCGGAAAACATTTTAAATAAGACAAAAATATTTATTTAAAAATAAAATTCCATCAACCGACGAAATGTTTAATCCTATGTCACTGACTTTTCAAGTTGAGAAAAATCTACTGACAATTGGGACTGATCGATTGGGACAACTGTAATATTGTACAAGCAATTTTTTTTTTATAAAAAAAGACATATGTTAAAAAAAAAATGTAATGACAATAAATGTTTTTGTTATTTTCAAGTACAGAAGTTGAAATTATTTTACGGAAATCTAATATTTTTATTGTTAGATTGATAACTTTTTGTTTTTTTCTAATTAATGCACTTAAAATTGCGCCTCAATGTAAATCGAATACACTCGAATGGATATTGTTCTTAGCCAAAAAGAAAGCTCGACCCTATTAGGGTTTTCAACTATTAAACCCAATCTATTATACCTTTTGCATCTAAGATTCGAATTGAAAGTTTTCTATGCATTTTTAAAATAGATTTTCTCGATACATCTTATGTCATAGTCGCTTATTGTGCTTTGCTGATGACATGAAAATCTTTACGCGTGTGAATAATTATTAAGACTACTGTCATAAGCTTCAAAACGATTTAAATAATTCTGTTTTCTTCTTTAATACTTTAGGTCTATCTCTAAATATTTCTAAGTGTAAAATTATGACTTTCAATAGGATTCGACCCCCAATAATATACTCCTATCATCTCTTGGATTCTGAACTTCTGAACCCCACTTTTCTTTATTAATATTTATGTTCATTTTTTCTTACCTTTTTGCTATAATTAATTACTGTATATACCTATTGTAATCATAGGACTAAGCCCGTAAATAAAATAAATAAATAAATATCTGTAAAGTGGTTTTAACAGTTTTATTATTCTGGATAGAATACATACAAACTTAAATATGATATTACAATAACTCAAATATTATAAATAAATACAATTACAATTGGAAAGAATAATTAAATAACAAGTAACCTTATAAGTAAGTTTCATTACACAATAAAATAATAAACAACAATGACTAATAAAATATTTTATTTGATATTAAATACACAACTGATAATGTACATTTATACAAATCGATAAGAGGTAGGAGGTACATGCTACACCTAGAGGGCGCTAAGGTTATAATTTACATATCTTTTTATGCATTTTAAATTTAAAACATGCACAACTTTTCAAATACTTAAAAGTATGTTACTCTGAAAATATTTTCACAAATTCTAACTACTTTTTGGTGCTTTAAAGACATCGATATCGTCATATGTTTATCATTTATGTACAACGAATATACTTGTGTAGGTGCCTGTTTTTATACTTGTGCAAATATGGAATTTAAATAATAATTCCACATCTAAAAAAATTACTAGCAATTTTATTTGTGAGCAATCTTTTGTGCTCGTATCATTTTATTTTTTATCAATTCTATATTCAAAATCATTCTTTTTATCGCACAGTTTAACTTTAGTTTAGAGTTCATAAAAAAATACAATGTACTGTAAGCTTTCTATTTTATTACTGTCTATCATCTTTGCAGCTAATACTGCTCCGGAAAAAACAGAAGACGAAGTAATATTCTTTTAGAACTATTAAAAAACTATAATAAATAATATTTTATAATAATAATTTTTTTTAAATATTACTTAAATAGTTTGTATGCGCTTTTTTCAAGTAATTTTTTTATTATTTCATATAAATCTAAAATATTATTCTACTTTTAGAAAATATATAAAACGAGAAAATATAGGAAGATAACTATTTTTTCTCGAATAATTGTTTATTACTACAAAATTATTAAAGATTGTAACTATTAATTACTACGTAGTATGTACATTAATTAACGCGGGAGACAATTAGTATGCACCCATTTATATAGCTAAAGAACCTATTCGAATGTTATTATCGCTTGCCAATGTTGTAAGTTACAATCCTAATTAGCTTATATAAGATTATGTGTATTTTCAATAAGCTTAGCAGTATGTAGCATAAATAATATAAGTTATACACTTATACCCTAAACAATCAAGTGCTATTATAATGGTATATGTTGTTATAGCCTTCAACGCCCAAGAAACATTATATTTGTATGTCTTCTATCTTAAATACAATTCATATTAAATAATGGTTAATTTCATACACTTCTGATAGGAATTAAAAAAATATGTTTACCGGAACCACTATTTATACAATTTATTTAAGTCTTTAAATGTGCATAATGACCTAACCTAACCTAATACCCTAATTGTGAACAACAATTAAATTAGTCATGACCTAAACTTAATTTTAGGTTAATAGTTAGCTATGAAAAATCCTTAACTGCATAATTTTAAAATGGTGAATTATGCAATGAAGTATATTGATATTTATGAAAAAATATTTCAGATTCTAAGAGATTCGTACGCAAATTTTAGAATATGGTTACAAAAATCTCCAAGTGACCCTATTTCAATGCGTGAATTTTGTTACTATATGGAAATAAACGAAAGCGACAATAATAGAATAGTAGTGTACTTAACTAAAAATCTAGATGTAGGTAAACATTATCTATACTTTATATTTTATCATTTAATAACTATTACTTTTATCACGTTTATAATAATAATATATGTATATTAGACATGTATCTTTTGCTATATTTTATTTAACGCCACAGATTATTAATATTTGGTTAGGTCTGGTTCAGAATGTACTTGGTTTGAATTGTGGAGGATTCTTATTATCCAAAGATAGTTCAAACACAAATTAAGAAAAAGAAATACACATCATAGTAAAAACAATACAGCTCCACATCTAACAAGATAAAATTAACTGTTTCATTAATAACTAAGGTGGCCAATGAGCTACACCAAATATTTTTGTTTCTCCGTTTTAGGTATGGATTTAAAACATTTTAGTAGAATTTTTAAATACATATGCAGCGAACGTGGCGTTACTGTAAGTTACTTAGCTGAATATACTACAACTAAAACGGCAACAAGGACATTAGAAGAGACTGCATTGTTACGTCGGGACCAAACTGAAGATAATGAAAATAATGCTACTA